CTCGTCGGGATCGTCGTCCATAATGACTCTCCTGCCTCTCACCGTCCTGATGGCTGCTGCTGCTAGGTCATCACGTCGGCGTGACTCGCGTGCCATAGGTAGACCGTCAGTCCCTGAAGTCTCCCCCTCCTGGCGTCGATCTAAGGGCACGTGTCGGGCCTGCCTCAGTCGTGTAACAACATCAGGCTCCTCCAAAATAATCGACGCCTCCCTCAAACCCTACGTCCGCGGCGGATCCGCTGCGCTCGTCGTGGCATCGCCTGCGCCCTCACGTCTGTCGTCACCGTCACCACCACTGCCACCGTCGCCACCCCCTCTACCGCCAAACCCTGCAGCTACAACATCTCAACGTCTCACGCTCATGGAAACCCCTCTCAAACCTGGCTGGCAACCGACACTCGTCGTCGTCACCCGTCTCGTCTCACTCCATGGTCGATCTGTGCGACCGAACAATATGGTGTCCAGCAACTCCCGCGCACGCTGGGTAGTGTCTCTCCGTCTACGGACAACCGACCTCGGGGTGAGGCTGCCGCCCTCCCTCGGAGCTGCGCTCAAGGGTGACGAAGGACCTGCGGCACCTCCAGATGGCGCTGCGACCGAACCTCCAGAAGGTAAGTCCCCTGCGGCCCCGCCCGATGCCGCTGCGACAGAACCTCCAGAAGGTAAGCCCCCTGCAGTCCCGCCAGATGGCGCTGCGATGGAACACCCAGAAGGTAAGCTGGGGCTGGCTGGCCCCCAAGATAAGTCCTGCACGTGAGGAAGCTTCCCCTCCTCGGGGACTGACCTCAAAACACGCTGGTCGATCTCCGTCAAATCCCTCCTGTCGTGGTCCTCCAAACTCCTCAGCGGTCATAAAACAAAAAGGGAGGCTGCCTCGAGGCGTAGCCACATGCCTAATCTCCGGCCTCGTCCGTGACGGCACAAAAGTAGGGACCGGGGGTATGCACGCGCCCCTGCCTACACGTTGCTCCTCGACCGGGCCACCTCCATGTGCAGGATGCCTATAACCCTCCAAAAACGGTGCCTGATGTGGCACCACTGGCCCCACAGCAGTGCGAACCACCAAAGTCTGTGGCATCTCCTGTCCATCCGCGTCACGCCTGTCCACCTGTGTGGGGTCTCCCCCGCCAGACGTGGACATCGGATCGGCCGCAGGCGGCACCTCCGACCCGCCAACACCAACGGCCCCCGCTACGGCCCCGTCCCCCCCGGTGGTCGGCGCTATCCCCGACGCCTGCGCCGATGGGCGAATATCATCAACGCCCACTGATTGCCCCGTCTATATGTCCTCCAGACCCGGGGACATATGCACGGCACCCTCAACTGAACCCGCGGGCAGAGGCACACCCACGACCTCCTGCAATGTCTCCTGTGGCCTCAGCTGCACGGCAGGAGGCTGCGCCGGCTCCAAACGTGGCTCCTCTGTCGGTGCCAACCCGCTCTCGTGCGTCCCCTGCTGAACATCTACTCCCGTACTCAAAACCTCTGCCGAAGCCGCATCCCGCTGCATCGTGTCGTGAACCTTTGCAGGAATATCCGTGTGGGCAGCTGGCCCCACGTCCAAAGACGTCGTCATATATGTCCCCAGCTGCCTCTGTCGGTCCTCGGCCGCAAGACGGGCGAGCTCCTGCGTCCTGGGGTCCCTCTATGCCATGAGGCATGCTCGACGACTCTCAAGCCTATCCAACCTCTCCTCAGATGTCTCTCCAGGAGGTCTGCGATCCTCGTCTCCGTCTGCCCCCGACATCACCTCTCCGCGCATGGCAGTTGAGAAACTGTTCGGGTCCAGGAAGTTGGTCTGTCACAATAAGGCCTGCATACCCACACTGATGTCCCCACGGGACTCGCTCTCTCCCGGGGGCATACCCATATCACCAAACTCACTGAAACCGCCTCCGCCGCCCATCGGTATCCCCTCAACCGCCGCATCAACCTCGGCACCGCCTCCACCTCCGGCCAGCGCACCACCATCTCCACCAACCAACCCCTGTTTGTCTCCGTCGTCGCCCTGCACCGGCATAGGACCGCCCTCCAATCTGTCCTCCAGCTGTCGCGGGCCCCTCACCAATCTCTGCAATCGATCTGCACCGACTGGCTGTCGATGAAGCTGCTCCGTCGAAGTGGGAAGAGTGGTGGATGATGCCGTGCCAGAGCGACCCAGAGGACGATGGGCAATCCCGGACTCAGCCCCCCTCAAAGGTGCAGACCCAGGATCTGTCACCCGCTCAGCGGGAAGCGGGGCAGCGGACGTAGGCCTCGGACGCTCTAAAGGGCTCCCATGACGACCCCCAGACTCCTCCTCCAAATCAACTCGAACGAAAAGGTCATCTCCGCCACTCCGTCTGCGGACGTCCTCTGGGTCGCTCCACTCATCACGTTCATCCGCCGCATGAGTGACGCTAGCGGGGCCTGCCGGCTCGCCCTCGTCCTCATGACCCTCGGAATCACTGTCGTCTCGAGGGTACGGGTGCAATGTGGCTGCTCGAGTCCCAAAAACATCGCCCACATCACCCAGAGGAGCTCTAGACCCACATGGGTCTCACTGCCATGAACGCCTCTGATCCTCAACCTCCTCCCGCGTCCTGCTCTCGTCCGTCCCCTTCCACGAGGGGTGAATCCCGATACCTCCCTCCACGTCCAACAAAAACTCATCTAGAGTCCACGGCAGCGCGAACCCGCGGCCTGCCCGCTGATGAGAGAGAAGGCGGATGTTGGCTGAGATCTTAACCAACTTCGCGACCTTCTCGAACTCAAGCCGGTTACGCTTCTTCGTTTATACACCCTCGTGGATGGCCCAATTCCTCTCCACAGGAGAGGAGCACGTCCACATGTACATCACACGAAGAGCGATAACCTGCAACTGCGGGGCGCACTGCCCGTACCGCGACCACCAACACCCGGACTCGTACGTCTCCGCATCACCCCTGCACCTCTGTGCATCTCTATCTCCATCTCTCCCCCCCCAAGCAATCGTCCCCCTCCGTGTGTGGAAGTCGCGCAACTGTGCACATGCGGTCTCGTAGTCGCGGCTCGCCACACTGAACCCTGTCTTCGACAAGATGTAAGTCTCCACCTCCCTCACCAAGCTCGCGTCATAGTCGCTGACCACGCCCTTGAAGTACCGCAAGTCCCGCCGGCTGGGACAGAGAAGGTGAGCAGCGACATGCGACGGCTCCAGCATGTGAGCGCATCGAGCCTGCACCCTCTGCACAATGTAGTGTGCAAGATCTGTCAGAAGTGCACAAACCTCCTTTGCTACCCGGCGTGCCAGATCCTGTGTCCACTCAACCACCCGCGACATGTGCAGCCCTCCGCGGTCCAACCTGCGCAGCAGGCCGTACACAGGCTCCATGATACGGAACAAGATGCCCATGGAATCCCACCAACTGCCATGTCGCACCTGCCACCTGACCCACCTAGCCAACTGACGAACAGAATGGTCCCAAGGGACCATACCCCAAGTATCGCCATCCATCGTCCTCTCCAAAGCTGACCTCACTGCCAGCAAACGCTCCACCATCGCGAACACGGATGTGAAACGTGTCTCGCAAGGATAGATGAGGCCCATTTGAGTGCTCTCCCCCCGGAAGATATGGAGAGAGGCGCCGTGCTCCTTAATGAAGCGCACCACCGCTCTCCCCCGCATGATGATGTCCTTGGACCACGGGCCCGAATAGCCAATGTTTGACAACATCTTGTTGCAGACATGCACTGCGCATGGGAGCCACGTGATCCGTCAATGCTCCGGCCTCTGCTGGGGCCCCTGGAGCATGTTCGCCGCGGCGACGTACACCGAGGCGGAGTCAGTGCAGATGGCGTTCACCCACTTAGGGGAGAAGTCATCGAACACCTTGATCCAGCGCGCCAACACATCAGGCGCCCGATCCCGCTCACCCTCCCTGTTCATCGTCCGGACGAGCATCACCCCACAGGACCCGCCGGCAAGGAAGTTCACGATGGGTCTAGCATCGCGTGACTTCCTTCCGTCTGACATGATGGTGGCCCCCGTGACATAGAAAGGAGCCCTGACCTCCGCAAGATCAGCTCCCACATTGTCCGCTGTGTGGACAATGGTCTCTATGTCCGCGATCTCATTCTCTGAAGGCCACAACACCTTCACTGGCCCCGGCAAGTCCCTGAAGTGTCGGACGACGTCCAACCATGGCTCGCTCCGGAAGACGTTGAATGCCAGGCGCTGACTATACACAAACCGCAGCCACTTCTTCTTGAACTCCATCTGCCACTTTGACGTGAATGACTCCGTGATCGTGTTTTGTCTCATCCTCTTCTGTGCTGCGGCTGTTGCCGTCGGTCTGTCCCCCTCCTCTCTCTCCTTCCTCTTTCCCGCAGACGCACCCGCCTCAGCCGTATCCGCACCTGCCCGTGTACGAGCCGACACGTGCGCCGACGCAAAGTACTGGCCCTGCTGCCCCCCCGGCTCGCTGACAATGCCCTTCCCTCGCTCCCTCCCTGACGACCCCCCCCGTGCAACCTCCTTGACGTCGTTGTCCACGTCGATCTGCTCCCCCGCGTCCCTCATCTCTCCCTCCCCCCCCTCGTCCCGTCGCGGATCCATCGCAGGCGCCGCACCGTGAAGCTCCTCAAATCGCTGTATCCGCTCTAGGAACTTGTCGGATATCTTGTACTCACTGTTATAGTGGATGTCGAGAAGTGCCTCGTCTGTCACTTCCGGATATCCCTTGCCTTGGCGGAAATGGCGCACCGCCACGAACTGGTTGCCCTGGAACTCGTGGCCGCAGAAAACGCACTTCAACATGCGATTGCCGCAGAATCTCTCGCCGAGAGTCTGTCCCACGTGGATGTACTTGTACACGCAGCACTTTTTCTGCGCCTTCCGATTCTCGTCCTCTCCCCCCATCCTCAAACACCCGAGATTGACTTCGCGGCATCGTGCCCGCTCGCCGACGGGTTCACCGAAGCGGTCCGCCCCTTTCCTGTCCCGCGAATATCCAACTCCGCCGGTGTCCCTCCCCGCACCAGGCCTCGTCGGGCCC